CCGGCCCGGCGCAGGGAGGGCAGCGGCCGGCGTGTGGCGGGGGAGGGCTGCAGGGCTCCAGGGCTCCAGGGCCAGAAGCGTTAGCTTGCTGGTTAATGCTGCTGTGCGTAACCGTTCCTGCGCAAGAGCTTAGCTCTGAACAGCTGTAGGGTAGTGAAGGTTCACACTGGGCTTCCTTCAGATGAGAGTGGTTGAGCAGTCGTGTTATCATCTCGGGGAATCGTCTTGCATACCTTTATTGTATTTTCATACATAAATTGATGATTACCGTGTCTGGGAAGGTAGGTCTGCTGCAAATGCAGCCTGTGTTGGAGTACTTCTCAAGGCATGTATCACACAACATCTGTGTGCGTACTGCCTGCTTTAATTTCACTTTCATTTTTTTGTTTTATTTCTAGGAGGCAAAACAGTTTTCAGGAACATAAGTGCTATCAGGCTTAAAGTCACATTCCTTCATTCATTAATGAATATTTGGGGGGGGACTTGTGTATTACTGTTGTTGTTGGAAGTCTTGATGTACCTTCATGCAATGTTTGTCATGAAGGAGGTCTGCTTAACATAACGTGAAACCCTGGTCTTTGATTCTCAGGTCTTTAACGTACCAAATCGGATAGCAAACAGTGAAAATGATCACAGATCTGCATTGTCATGCAACTGAAAAGAGAGGAGAATACAGTTGTTTTCTGATACCCATGCCAAGGAGTATTTTTGAGCTTTGTCTTATGACAATTTAATGTTCTGAAACAGTCACAAGAGCAGTACCTGTAAGAAGTTACCATACGTTGCCTAGGTAGAAGACACACACAATTCTTGGCTTGCAAGTTCACACTGTGAAACTGAGGCCTTTAAGTTCATCTTAGACTCTGATCACAAATATCGTAGTAGTCCATTTTCAGGTTCCCATGTATCATTTTTTTCCACCAAATCTGTTCGCATACGATATCTAATGTGTCTGGGACTGTTAGTTTTCCTAAGACCAATAAGAAAGTAAGAAAAAATAGTCCTGATAAAATGCAGAATTTACAGATGTGTCTTTCAGATGGTTCACAAGTGCATTTGTGAATTTCAAAAGATAAGTGTTGGGTAGCGGTCAATATCTTTTGCATTCTGTAATCGTAGTATCCTCATCTCTCATTGCAGGGACTACATGAATTTTGCTACTTCTTAATGAAAATGCACCTGTATTTGGGATTCTTTGCTCAGCTTAAATACATCATTTTCCAAACTTTTTAAAGAAGAGCCTGACCTTTTTCCCGCTTTCTAGTACATATGCACAGCATTAGCTGTGACATTTCAGCCTTTCTGAATGAAGGCAATGTGTCATTAAGAATGTACGTTAAAACACCAAGTCACAACTTGTTCTACACCAAAGAATATTTCTTGTTTACCTTTCCCTATTTTGCAAAATCTGAAGCCAGTGAATATAACTGGCATATTCCTACAGAAAGTGTGTGTGTTAATCTTCATAAACACTTTCTAATAAGATTTTACTCTGTATACTTTATTTTCCAGTTAGATATCTTGTACCTGTGAAGAAGAGGAAAAACACTAGTATTCAAGTAAAAGAATGTAAGTAAATTGTAGGAATACGTCACAGAATTACTTGATTTGCCTCACATTACCTCTTTAAAATAACTGTCAAACTGCAAATAATCGAACTTCAAGGGATCAAGATTAGATTAAAAATTTAAATGTTACTGATAATACGCTAGTCCTATTTTCTAGTCAGTTATGTAGTCTAAGTATGGTTTCAGTGTTAATAGACTAAGCAAATTAAGTTAGCAAGCGGCTGTATATGCTTCTCAGATTTCCCAGGGTATTCAGCTGAAGCTGATATCTGGCAATATTGCAGCCATCTGACAAAGCCTTAATGATAGCTGTGTTTTGCTAACCAGCAAGTTACTAAAGCAACCTTCCTAAGTTTTATACGCAGGTGAAGGCTATTTACAGTGGCAGTTTAAATATATACTATGTAAACATAACCAAGGTTGTGATTAGGTGGTTATTTTGTAGAAGGCTTTGAAACAGTGCTGAACATCTGATGCAACTATTATATGCTTTTCTTTCTTCTTTTTGAATTCTGGGAGAAGGGAGCCAAATGAGCATAGTTTTCATTAACAGCTTTTATGATTCACTTCAGTTACATATGTATCTTGTAAACTCAATCTATTCATGCTCCATGCAATGGAGCAGCGGATCAATGGTAGGCTAGGGAGTCCCTCCAGAGAGACACAATCCTTTACAAGTCAGCAGAGCTTTACATGGGCACAGAGTCCTTCCTTCATGGATGTGAGCACAGTGTGACAGAGAATGGTTAGGGTGAATGCTGTGTTTCCAGCACACCACTGTTTGCAGCTCAGTATGAAGTTAATGTACTTTTTCAACATGCATTGCCATTGTCACTATCACATCCGAGTACAGTGCATGTAAAATAAGCATCAGTATATGAATTAAGATGACATCACTTTCCTCAATTAAGAAGAACTATACAATAGCTTGAGTGATTGCATAAATCAACTACGTTAGATTGTGGGGTAGGACGTCACAACCCTGGCCAAATTACAATGATAGTTTTCATGGAAGATTTACTTTTCCTTCAGTTCACTTTTTTCATTAGGATCTGCACTGTAATCTCATTTTAACAGCCTCAGGTTTTATGAAATTCTTTTATAATTCTCTACATGCTTCTCTGTGTACCTTGTTATTGTGGTGTGTTCATCCCAAATGGATTCGAGATCATTGCTGTTCCGCTTACAATGTTGTTTTTCCAACAGATGGTGTCCTCCTTACCCCTCTTTAACACTTATTTTCTTCTGTGTAAATATGGCGAACTCACTATAACCAGAACCATAATTTTAAAACTCTTTTCTCATATCACGCTAATGCTTGTTTATCCTCGGTTCTGAATATTTAAACAGCATGATGCTTGAATTTTTACAAAAAACTGATTCAGACCAGATACACTACTAAAGACCTCATCATTTTGTACAGAGAGTTGTTGAGCATGAATAATTTTTGAAAATAAGGATTTCTTAAAAGAAGGATTTCTGCCTTTGTAGTTGAAATGAGTTTTTGCTCATGGCAGGTTGGTAACAGATTCACCAGATTTCTCAGACATCAATAAAACTGTAGATCGGAGAATATCTGAAGACAATTTATCAGGTAATTTTAGAAAAATCAGAGGAAGAAATTACTGAGGTAGCATGAATTGCTATGCCACCTTTATGGGAGGCATATGTAGTAAAGTACAAGTTAATTCAACACAATACATGTTACAGAAGTTTTCTGTCATGGAATTACTAAGAGGTGTTCAATGTATTCGTTAAAAATAAGTACAGCAGAGCTTATTTATAACACATTTTAGATTATAACTGATGGGACAAAGACAAAGATATTTCTGATGTAGAGTGAAAATAACCTTACTGATATTTAATGCATTTGATAACAAAAACTATGTGCTTGCTTAACATTTCAACAGTGTAATTTAATTTTCTGTACTTCCTGCGTTAGTGTACTGTAAACTATGAGTTATAGTTTTCCATAGTCTCGATTCCTGTTAATTAAAAAAAATATATACTGCTAAGAAACTTTCAGATTACTTTATTGTTAATACATGCAGTAGCCTGGGAGAGAAGCCCCTTTGTGGAAGCACGGGCACTGTCTGTTCTAGGAAGCTCCAGTGGTCGAGGTATATGTTGGACATACGAAGACTACTGTGTTGTTACTTTCAGCCATCTTATCATCTTAAGCCATCTCCTAGGGTTATTTTTCTGACATAATACTGAGGAACAAATAGTTCCTTAAATTTACAGCCTGTTGCTTACCCAAGGATTGATTGTTCTTTAGAAAGCAGCATTTCTCACTAATCATTAGTGTGTTTTCTAACCTCTGGAGCAAAGCAGTAAAGATGACTAAGCTTTCCCTTGTATGTCTTTCTTTGGACTGAGGTACTATATTACGTATATTAAGACAAAATTCCATATGATAGTTATAAAAGTCTCATTAGCATTCAGAATTTTACAGGGTAATCAAGAATCAGATAACCTCTGCCAGCTGTTCTGAGATGCTCTGAATCATACGCATATTTAATTACTTTTACTTTTGTCAGGAGTTTGCCTTTGAAAAGGTATTGTAGTGTTAAATGAAACACATAGACAAACAATATTAAGAGTGACCTATCAATTTATTTAGCACTTTTGTCAGTCTCAGTCCATTTCTGTATGAAACTGAAGCTCACTGTGTTAATGTCTTGACATTTATCAATCTCATGTGAATAGAATTACGTATGGGGTCAGTATAGTTTTTATATTCTTATTCTCTTCATCTACAAGATATACATGAAAGAATAAAACACACTGTTTTTTGCCCTGTAGTTCTCCTTGTTGCTGCTGATTTGAATCTACAAGCCAAAGAACTGGAAGACGTTAAATTTATCTGAGTTGTAAATAAAAAGATCTTTTGCAGTCTGGGAAAATGGCTGATTGTCCAAACTGTGATTTGAAATCTCTGAGTCTCCTTCAGCTGTTTGAAAGAGTAACTGAACAAGGAGAGAAAGTCAGAGCACTGAAAGCAGGAAAAGCACCAAAGGTATTTCCATTTCACATTTTAAACCCATGTTTTTTCAAGTTAGGTCTGTCTTTAAAAGTGCTGAAGAATGTGATTTTTTTCTGAGATCTATTTTGTATTGTAGTAAGAGAAAAAAAACTTGTTAAAAAAGATTTATGTCCATTTTGTGAACCGTGGACATACCTGGAGCAAGGTAGTCACTAGCAAGAGCAAAGTTGTTATTCCTGAAGTAAGAGCAGATTTGTAGGCTTAGAAGTCTGCTTCAGCAGGTTGCCATGCTACATGACGGGATCCAAGGTATTTGGTTTTCAAGTGACATTTGTATCACTTGTATTCTGCCCTGGTTTTAGATTGTTTGTTAAAATCTCTTTCTCCGTGCATTATTATGCGAAGTAGCAAATATGTCTTGCTGAAGCTGTATTGACAGTCCCTGCTTAATGTCCCTTAAGTAATTTAGTAATTTGCCATTAATTTCAAGTTCTCTATCCTGTTATCCCTATGTTGGCAAAGAGAGCTCAGTTTTAATATGGTCTCTCTTAGCGTATTGTCCGTGGGAGTAAGCCTTGAAAACTGGGAGTCGAATAAAGTGTTGATCTATTTATCGCTTGCATGAGGTGTTTCAATAGCTTTGTATTAAAAAGATCATAACAACTAAAGTTGTGAAGAACTTTTTGTTCTGTTTTGTCTTCAAGTCTGTCAATGAATTGTAATGAATAAATTATTTTAAGGTGAGCCATGAAAAGGATTGTAAAGTAAATTAGATAATAATTTATATTATGTTTGTGTATCTTAGAAATTTGTGCTTAAAATGTTAAGCTGGTTATACCTCTGAAAAGCAGGCAAGCATTTTCTTTTTCTTGGGCAGAAATTGAAATGTGAGACAGAGATGCTTTAAATATCTTGGCAGTGGTGATGCTCTGAATTCTGTCGGTTAGGAAGCAGTCACCTGCTGTTTGCTTTTCTTTTACATTTGGCAGGGATGCTGCAAACACGTAAATAAAGGCTTAGAGCTTATGAATAATGCAATTCAAGCCAAAGCATGGATGTAGAATTTTGAAGGGTTGGGACATTAATGTAATTGTCTATCTTAAGTCAAGTCAAAGTCAAACAGCCTTTTTTCACTTTATTCAGGATGAAATTGATGCAGCAGTGAAGACACTATTATCGTTAAAACTGTCATATAAAACAACAACAGGGCAAGATTATCAGGCAGGCTTGCCTCCAAGAGATCTTGTATTAAGAAACAATGGTACAACTAAAGAAGAGGACGAGGATTTTGTGGACCCCTGGACTGTGCAGACATCAAATGCTAAAGGCGTGGATTATGACAAACTCATAGGTATGATGCTTTTGTCACCGCTACTTAGAATTTTATGTCAAGTGATCCTAATGACCACAAAACCAACAAGGGATCATAACAAATCCTGATCAAAACCATCATAGGTATCATTTAATTTATGTCTGATCTTAGCATTTCTAAAGAACTTGCTGTAGGAATGGAAAATGTCCCAGGCAGGGATCGCCTGTGGAAGACTTAAATACTTTGCAAATAGCTTTTCAGTTCAAAATAGAAGCTTTACTCGCAGTTAGGTTTTTGGTGTAAGAGCTGTTATTAGGAGTTACGTTAATGAAGACACTGTGACTGAGTATCTGCATCTTCAGTGGCTGTGATGCAGAACAGCTGGAGCCTAGAGCATTCTGACCAGGCTATAGGCTTCTTCATACCATCTCTCCACATCTGCCTCGACTTCCAAGTTAGGGAGAGGGGAGGATGGTCCAAAACTAATGCAGAAATCTAAATGTAATGACTCCTCCACAAGACATACTATCAAGTAGCCAAGTGCTGTCTGGAATGAAAAAGATGCACCTTATTCAAAGAACGTGCATGTAATGGAAAATATTTTAGGCAGGGATGTTAAAAAAATCTTGCAAAGTTTTGTAATTTAAGAAACAGGGGGTTAGTTAATTTGCTTATTTGTTTTCCAGTCCAATTTTTGTAGCTTGTTTGAGTCTCAACGTAGAAACAGGTGAGAGAACTATTAATGAATTTTTACTATTTTTGCTTTTTTTAAATTATTGTCAATCTTCAATCTGTATTTGGTACCTCAGTGAAAATTCTTTAGCAGTTGTACATTGCTGGTGTCTGCTTAGCAGCTTGCTTCTCACAATAGAGTATACACCCTTATGTGTCAGTAACTCTATATTTGCTTTTGGGAGGTCAGTTGATAGTGTCAGCGTTCTTTTAATTCGGTGTGATGTTACTGTAAGATTGTGTCAAATGTATGTGCATATTGGTTTAGTCTGCAGAACGTAATAGGAGAAATAAAATGTTGGAAAGGGAGAGGTGTGCAAAGAAAGATATGTTGGTGGAGGAGAAGGAAGAAAAACAATTGTTAGAATCTTGAAATGGGCAAGATCTCTCATCATCGTGTTACTTGTGTAGGAGGTATGGAGAAGAGTTTTTTTGTTTTCTTCAGGAGGGAGTGGGTTCTAAGTCTTGTAGAAAAGTGGTAAGAGTAGAATACTTGCAATTTCAAGGTCTTTTGAGAATAACTAGTGTGACTTCACTGTAAATCAGTTTTCTAAAGCTGTGCTAAAGCCTAACAGCAATGTCCTTTTTTTTCTAGTAACTGTATGTGTATACATGTATGGCCTTTTGATCTACCCTGCAGTGGTGGGTTAGCTTGAAGGGTTTTTACGTATTTACACTGCTAGCAGATCGGGGAATTTGGTGGATGAGTCATTTTGCTTGTTCTAAGTGATGTGTTGGAAATTTTTCAGAGAAGAATACTAGCCTAGCCACTGCAGGAAGTGAAAAAGTTATTGCTTGTTGTTGATAAACTTCCTCCTCTTCCTCCCTGTTTTAAAAATAATTATAAAAAGTATTGTCCGAGAACTTGACAGCTGATAGCTCTTACAGTAAAGGAAATTTTTGTGTCACATGTAATCAGTTTATTAACTGCTAGTGCCAGGGGAAGTTGTAAGTGTATTTGTGTTTGCTCAAACATAGAAGAAATGAAAGTGCCAAAAGCGCTGTGTAATTGAAAGGGATATTCTTATCAAACAGTTGTCTTAGACGTGCACACGAGTGTATGATTACACAACAAAACAGCCTAAAGATATTGTGGGAAGAAAGGTTCTGTTAGCTAAGTACTAGACGTGAACATTCCTAGAGGTTTTTTTTATATGTTTGAGCATGAGCAAGGACAGAGGGATGAATGGGAAAGAGCTTTGTATGCTAACCATGCTGATACTTCAGTGAGCTGAATACTGCAAGTGAGATAAGATGGTTGAAGTTGGCAGGAATCTTTGGAGATCATCTGGTCAACCCCGCTACTCAAAGCGGAGTCAAGTAGAGTCAGGACCTGTCCAGTAGGAGTTTTACTATCTCCGAGGATGGAGATCCTATGACCTCCCTGGGCACCTGGTTTCCAATTGTGCCTGTTGCTTCTTTCCCTTTCACTGGGCATCACTGAGAAAGGTCTGCTGCTGTCTTCTTTACTCTCCTGCCCCTGCCCTAATCAGATATTTATACACATTGATAAGGTCCCTCCAGAGCCTTCTCTTCCCCAAGCTCAGCAATCCCAGCTGTCTCAACCTCTCCTTGTATGACAGATGCTCTAAGCCCTTCATCTGCTTGGCCTTTTGCTGGATTCACTTTAAGGAGGACAGGGACATACTATACTGGAGCCCAGAACTGGACCTAATGCTCCAGATGTCTTGTCAGTGCTGAGTAGAGGGAAAGGCTCTCCTCCCTTGACGTTCTGGCGGCGCTGCTCCTAATGCAGCCCATAAGGCTGTTGACCTTCCAATCCACAGTAGCGCATTGCTGGCCTGTGTTCAATTCCTTGTCTACCAGGACCCTAGGACCCCAAGGTCCTTCTCTGCCAAGCTGCTTTCCAGCCATTTGCCCCCTGCCTGTACCATTGCACGGAGTTATTCCTCCCCGGATTCAGGACTTTGCATTCCCTTTTGTTGAACTTTGAGAGATTCTTGTCACTCCATTTCTCTGGCCTGCCAAGATCCCTCTGAACGGAAACACAACCATCTCTTGTATCAGCTACCCCTCCCCGGATTGTTTCATCTGCAAACATGCTGAGGGTGTACTCTGTCCCATCATCTACATCATTAATGAAGATGTTAAACAGTATTGGCCCCAGTCTCAACTGTCTGGGGTACACAAATAATGTTTGGCTTCAGCTGGACTTTGTGCTGCTGGTCACAACCCTTTGAGCTTGGCAGTTTGGCCAGTTTTCAGTTCACTTTACTGTCTCCTTATCTAGTCTCAGTTATCTATGAGAATAGTAAGGCTTTTGACACCATTTCCCATCTCAAAATTCAGATAAACAATGTCCACTGTTTTTGGCTCATCTACTAGGCCAGTCATACCATCATAGAAGCCTATTAATTTGGTCTGACATGATTTCCCATTCATAAATCCATGCTGACTACTCCCAGTCACCTTCATGTCTTTAATAATGTTTATGAATGGCTTCCAGGATTATTTGCTCCATCACATGCCCAGAGATTGAGGTGAGGCTGACCAGCCTGTAGTTTCACAGTTCCTTCTTCTTCCCCTTCTTTGAGACAGGAGTGGCATTTGCTTGCTTCCAGCCCCCAGGAACCTCTCCCAGTTGCCATGACTGTTCAAGAATTGTTGAGACTGGCCTGGTCAGTAAAGTTACTGTATAACAAATAGTAGGTTATTAGTTTTCTATGTGCAAATATAACACAGCAGTGAGGAAAAATACACAATAAATTTTCAGCAAATGCAAATGTGCTTTTGACAATAGCAGCTCTCAGGACTTCTTATGTACAGCGAGTTGAAAGCTGTCTTTTGGTAAAAGCTAGAACACTAGAGATCAAAAGCATGCTAGGAATTTTTTAAAAGCTTGTTAAGGAGTCGAGACTGTGTCCTTGTCAGAAGCTGTTTAGGAAGGTAGATTCTTTGTGGATAGAGAGCCTAAAATGTTTTGAACATCCTCATAAGAGGAATAAGTGGACATAGGTAGAGAAAAATTATCCAGTTTTTTAACAGGAAGGATGAAGATTGACAAAGAAAAGGAAGTTATGCAGTCTGTGAATGTTTAATGAAGGTATTTAGGCATTTCCAGTGAAGTGTTCTATATATCAGAGATATTTCTAGGGTGGTTAGCCCCAGGCAGTCAGGTGCATTCCCATGTTTTCTGTTTCTGTAAGATTAGCCTCTTACTAGTCTGCTGAATCAAACGTTCTCATGTTCATTTGGTCTCTTTTTAGCATTCGTCCAGATTATAATTACTTTGCCATTTTGTAATGCATTTTATTTGTTAGGAAGAAATTAATTCAGTAATTAAGGTTTGCTTAGGACAAGTAGATGCAATAATGCTCAGGAAACATACTGATTACAGCAGTGGTTGCTGAATCATGTAACAGCATGTCTTTTTTAGTGATATTTATTTTAATGGGTCAGTGGGTGGGCCCAGTGCTTCACTTGTATGATATCCTGCTTGATTCACCTCGAGTGAATAAACAATTGCGAACAGGAATGTGTTTCCCATTGGATTATAGTGCAGACACCAAGCTGAGCGGTGAAGTTGATGCCCAAAGGATGGGATGCCACCCAGAGGGACCTGGACAGCCTCAAGAAGTGGGCATGTTTGAACCGCGTGAGGTTCAGCAAGGCCAAGTGCAAGACCCTGCACCTGGGTCAAGGCAGCCCCCGCTATCAATACAGGCTGGAGGCTGAAGGGACTGAGAGTGGCCCTGAGGAGAAGGACTTGGGGGTACTGATGGATGAAAAACTGGACGTGTCACACTCACAGCTCAGAAGGCCAACCATATCCTGGGCTGCATCAAGACAAGCGTGGCCAGCAGGTCAAGAAAGAGGATTCTGCTGCTCTACTCTGCTCTGGTGAGACCCCACCTGGAGTCCTGCATCCAGCTCTGGAGCCCTCAGCACAGGAAAGACATGGACCTGGTGGAGCAGGGCCAGAGGAGGGCCACAAAAATGATCAGAGTGATGGAACGCCTTTCCCATGAGGAAAGGCTTGAAAGAGTTGGGCCTGTTCAGCCTGGAGAAGAAAAGGCTGTGGGGAGACCTTGTAGCAGCCTTCCAGTACTTAAAGGGGGATTACAAGAAAGATGGGGACAGACTTATAGCAGGGCCTGTTGTGATAGGACAAGGAGTAATCAGTTTTAAACTAAAGCAGCATGGATTTAGACTAGATATAAGGAAGGTATTTTTTACCATGATGGTGGTGAAACGCTGGAACGGGTTGCTCAGAGAAGTAGTGGAAGCCCCATCCCTGGAAACATTCAAGGCCAGGTTGGATGGGGCTTTGTGCAACCTGGTCGAGTTGAAGATGTCCCTGCTCTCTGCAGGGGTGTTGGGCTGGATGATCTCTAAAGGTCCCTTCTAACCCAAAGCATTCTATGATTCAATGATAGTATGCCTAGTTTTCCTTCCCATTTAGTAATGAATTCTTACTAACTTCAAGTTTAGTAACTGTATACAAAGCCTTGTAGTAATGCTGTGCTTAACTAATAATTCTAGAAGAAAACAAAATGGGCGTAGGGGGTCTGGAACAGCAGAAATGCTTGCCTCCAAGTTTATGCTCAAATTGGATACATTACCACTCTTCTTTCCTGGCAAGGTTGAGTCTTCCTTCGGTGGGGGTTCATGATTTTTCTTTGTGAAAGGCTGTTCAGTGAATAGTTCATATAACAAAACAAAAAAACAGTTCATGTAACAAACACACATCCCCGTTTTCAGCTACAGTGTAGGAGAGGAACTCCCTTTACTGAGGGCTTCTCAGCATCCTGGCGCTCCAGGGTACATGTTGGTCTGACTCTTCTGTCCTATCCCTCATAAATCCCTTGGGAACGCTACAGTCTCAGTGATTAGGATGGCCATAGTTTTAAATAATATTTTTTGAGATGTATGCAAAGCCTTGATGGACTATAAATAGCCTCCATGCTCTGCTTCAAGAACCTGTGCTGCAAAGGGATGGAAGGCCTCTTTCCTTTCCCTTTTTTGGGGAAGAAGTTAGTCTAGTATAGTATAATAAGCCCAGAGGGCCTGAATATTTGGCTTTTCAAATTACACCAGTGTGCTTAACCTGCGGGGCAGCAAGAAATAGTAATTTTCTTTGTAAAATGAGCTGTGTGCCCCAGGCAGTACACTGGGTAACCAGCACAGGTAGAGAGCTCTGCCTCCGGCTGGAATCAGTTGCTGTTTTATCCGGTGGTGTGAACTGTTGCTGTCCAGCCAAGTATTGTCACTGTGTGCTAGGATTTCACAGTAGAAGCGTACCTGCTCTGGTAGAAAGTTGTACTCTTTGGAAGACCACTTCAGTTAACTATGACATTCCCACAGGAAGGCTTCTACTTTATTTGGTTTTGGCTTAAAATTAAGAAATTGAAAATTTAGAAGCAGGAACATGCAGAAGGAGGGAATTTGAAGTAAACTGAGTCTGTGTGGGGTATTCAAAGTGATGACTGGTTATTCCACAAGGCAGAAGTATAGTAGTCATGTAAGTCATCGTTTACTAGCTGCATAATGAATGGTTTAAAATTATTTTATTTGGTTTTAGTTTCCTTAGGAAACTCAAGATACTTGAAATTTGTCAAGTGTCAGCAATAAGTTCCTGGGAAATGATTATTTCCTGTTACAGCTAGGAAGACCCTAAATGCTTCTCCCTTGTGGGCATGTGTCTTATAACTATGGAATTTTCCAGTGTAGTCTCTTTTTAAGAAGATAGTTGAAATAGATGGATCTAGGTATTTTGTACGTATAAAATGTATCTTTACATCCAGAGTCTGTTTTGTTCTATTCAATACTTTGGCATTTCGAATAACTAATAGTGCAAGTTGTTCTAATGTTGAATAGAGCAGAATAGTAGCAAAGAGTAGATGCATGTCTAGATTTTTTTTTTTTTTTAATGAAGTCGAAGTCGTGTAACATTGACCTGCTTATAAGGGTTCAAGAACTGGTATTGGAGTATAGGAAGCTCTACTGGAGAAAGACTTCCCTGGTTCATTTTTATTGGGAATAGGAAAAAATACTGCTGTTTGACTCTATTAAGATCTTTTTTTGAATGAAATGACTACGTCTGATAATGTTGTTTTATTAATCAGCTGGTTTCCTAAACCACCAAGTAAGAAGTCTTACTTGATTACCATGAAGCGCATTATGCATTACCTTTTCAGGCCTCTTGAGGGGAGTAGTGTCTGTAACCATATCCATATAAAAGAAGAATTAAGTTTGCAGAAGGGTATATGGGGCTGGAAAGGGAGAAACCATGTGATTTGAGGGCAGAAAATTTAGACATCAAGAGAGGGACATTAAGAGCCTCACAGACATTTTTATTCTGTGACTTACAGAGGCCAAGTTATTGACCTAAATATGTTTCTTTGGAATGTTTTGTGTTCTGAATATCAATACATCTGCTATAAGGAGACTACAATTATAATCAGTCATGGATGGAGCAATACTACAGCCTGTGAATAGACTGGGTCTTCTAGCATAACGTTAGCATCAGAGGCAATCGCTGGGGCTCCAGGAAAGAAGCAGGAAAATCTAGTCGGTTTACATTTTCCCAGAGACTTGAAGAAGGTGTCCTTTTTAATCTAGGCTGCATTGTTACGTTCTTGGTAATTCAAGATGTGGTTGTAGCTATGTTATGCTTATTTTTTTCTTTTTTCTTTTTTTTTTTGTTTGGTTAACATTTTATGATTATAGTTCGGTTTGGCAGCAGTAAAATTGACACTGATCTGATCAATCGAATAGAAAGAGCTATTGGGCAAAAACCTCACCGCTTTCTGCGTAGAGGAATCTTTTTTTCTCACAGGTGAGTTTTTCGTGTTTTAAAATTCAAAGAGGTCCTATTAGGTATTAAAGTTCAAAAAGGTCCTATTGGGTAGACTTTCTGTGAGCATTATTGGGAGAAACCTATGACTAGCAAAAGACCGTGTTCTTTTATACCAAGGTAAACCGCAGTGTCGTTTGAAATTGGCAACTACAGATTTCCCCTGGCAACATTTGAAGCCCTTGGTTGTATCAGTTTCTGGTGTGTCCTCACTAATCCCAGAATGAAGTAGTGTGCACAGAGCAGGTTCTATTTTGACTCTACGTTAGCAGCGAAAGGAATTGGCCTAGCAGAGACCTCCGGGGCTCATATGGTGTTACTGCTGATTTCAGCAAAGGTCCATGTGGCCTGTGGACCTATGCATCTGTATTCTTACATAAAAAAGGCTCAGGGAATAATCATAAGCACCAGCCTGTCAGTCATCTACACTGTCTAATTGCTAGCGTGCATGGGCTTTTGGCCTATGGCAGCTAGCACATTTCAAATAAGTGCCTGAGCATGATTCAGGGCATAACCTCCACAAGAGACTATTCCAAGCTGGCTGTTTGAGCCTATTTGGGAAATGATTCCCAGCTTTGTTTTACTAGGCCTTAGAAATTACTATCGAATTAAGTAATTTTTAAAGTTGCACATTTTTTAATTTCAATTTAAATATTTTAATTTTATTTTTAATTTATTTTTTCTTTGAGGGTTTTATTTTGTGGAGACTGGAGACAATTATTTTCTTACATTAAAGAAAAGGCCAAACAATATCCTTTTATATCTAGGACACTTACAGAATCACAGAGTCATAGGGGATGGAAGAGACCTCCGTGGATCACCTAGTCCAACCCCCCTGCAAAAACAGATTCACCTAGAGCAGGCTGTACAGGACTGCGTCCAGGCGGGTTTTGAATATCTCCAGAGAAGGAGACTCCATAACCCCTCTGGGCAACCTGTTCCAGTGCTCCGTCACCCTCAGAGTAAAAAGTTTCTTCCACATGTTCAGCTGAAGCTTCCTAGGCTTCAATTTGTGCCCGTTGCCCCTTGTCCTGTCGCTGGGCACCACTGAAAAGAGTTTGGCCCCATCCTCCTGACACCCACCCTTCAGATATTTATAAGCATTTATAAGATCCCAACTTAACATGCTGTATTTTATTTACAAGTACGTTAAAAGCACTCAACTTTTGAATAGAAGCTTTTTTCTGTAGATGTTTCTTCCTCAGGAGTTGCATCACGTTTTCTCTGTTTTTTATTTAGAGATATGGACCAAATCCTCGACGCTTATGAAAATAAGAAGTCCTTTTACCTTTATACAGGCAGAGGGCCATCTTCTCAGGCAATGCATGTTGGTCATCTTATCCCATTTATATTCACAAAGTAAGTTATTTCTAACATTTGTGTTAATCAAAACATTTTTTTCTAAGGAAATGTTGAACATGGTTTATGGAACTGCCAAAATGATACATTGCAAGGAGTTCTGTTTATGTGAGGTGAATGTTAATGAACTTAAGCAATGTAACTTACCTTTTCACTATAATGACCACAATCCCTGCATCACCATAAAGCCCACTTCCTTGCATCCTTAGCCCTGTGGCACTCCTTAGATTTTTTTGTTCTTCTTAAAAACAAGTTTATGATGAGACTCAGTAACATTACTCTATTATGTGGTGCATGCAGCAGCAGGATAGAGACATTGGACTCAAAGAGCTAGAAGTCTCTGAATTTTGTTTCCATTGCAAATGGTGACTCCTATCATATGTATGGGAAACAATGTGTGAGTCTTTTTTCCAGGTAAGTTGTCATTATAATCTGTATAAAATGTTTATTCTGTTCACATAAACATAACTGCATATGCATACAAAGAAAAGAGAAGCAGGCCTCTCTATATACATTTGTTTAAATGTATAAAAATGTTTTAGCTACATGACTTACATCTTCATTTGAACTTGCTTTGAGATAAAATATTTCTGCTTTTATTAGGTGGCTGCAAGAAGTATTTGATGTTCCCTTAGTTATACAGTTAACTGATGATGAGAAATACCTTTGGAAGGACCTGACAACTGAGAAGGCATATGAGTATGCTAGAGAAAATGCAAAAGACATCATTGCATGTGGTTTTGACATCAATAAAACCTTTATATTTTCTGATTTAGAGTATTTGGGGTAAGTATAAATTTCTTTAGGGCATTGTAATGAAAAAAGCATCTGTGTTTTCTCTCCAAATTTGAGAGCCTGACAGCCAGCATTGTTTTAATGAGTGTATCTAAACTTGAAAGCTTCAAAACAAGTTTTACAACACTTAAAATAGAAACGTATTCATTTTTCTGCTGCCTAACATAGTATATAGATACTATTGTGATTCCTCTGCATAACATATGAACAAATATTTGTCTGCGCAGTGCTGAAGTCTAAATTATGAAAAATGTATTAAACCAGCTAAATTGTAAAAATACCTAAACTACCAGGAAACCTCCAGATTTATTTTTTTAAGATTGTATCAAAATCACTGAGATGTGTTTACACTTTATCTGCGTTAACAAAAGGTATTTCAGCAACTTGTGGTTAATTAATTTAATAATACAACATGGAAGATTATTAATTGAACTTTGAGTAAAGTTGAAAGAAGGTTTAAGAAAAATAATCTGCTGTTGGAACTGCTTTCTCAGAAGGAAGCAGTTTTATGGCAGAGTTCAGAACTGAAGTTGTGGGCTTTGTTCTTCCGTGTGGGGTGATGAGCTTCCTTAAAGACTGAAGTGAGAAAATATGTGTTCTGGAGACAAACTGTGTAATGTACAGCCCCCGGAATGTGGAGCCTACAGAGCAGTCTTTCCTTTCACTGCTCTGACTCTCCTGCCTTAGAAAAGCTGCATTAACACAGCTCTACCCTGTGGCTGAATGAGGGTGAGTCAGAACTGCTGGTTTTTTTGCTTCAGCTCTTCAGCAGAAATAAAAAAGTTGATGAGCTATTTTTGATTTGGAAATGCTGCTGCTGTATTTGGTGACAGAGAAAGTCCAGCCAGGGAACTTAGCCTGTAGAAAATGAGAATTTGGAGGATTTGAGCTACTAGTCCTTTGGTGAATCGTAGTGTCCTGTATGGGGTACACACTGGAGATGCCAAGCAACACGGAAGACATGATCCATTCAGGTTGCTTGAGTTCAGAGAAGCGTAAGGATAGGTAAACTTCAGCACCATGAGACTTTTTGGCATCATTTCCAAGTCAAAATATTTCTGGGTTTAGACTGTTAATTGTGACAAAAAATGTTTCCAGTAAATGTTGGGGTGGAGAGAACAATAAATTAAACTTTCAAGGCATAAAATTCTTGTTTGTAAATAATTCTCTAATTGTCATCTCAATGGGCCACAAAACGTCCAAAACAAGGAGATTTCATCCTGGCAGGTTTTTTGACATTCTCAGCTTTTGGAGTGAAAGTTTCTACTTACACTTTTCTGCTCTTACCGCTCACTTCATTTTTCCATTTTCTTTCTCACAGGAGAAGTGTCGGATTCTACAAAAACATCGTCAAAGTTCAGAAGCATGTTACGTTTAACCAAGTGAAAGGAATCTTTGGCTTTACAGACAGCGATTGCATTGGTAGGAAATAATACGAGTTTCTTAATAATTTAATAATACAAGAAGTGATGCTTGCTTCACTTTCAATGGCATCAAGTTATAATGTAAACAGATTAGTGTCTGCCACTCATGAAACTGACAGAGAAGCAAGAAGATCCATGTTTCTAGGCTGATTCTACAAGGGTGTGGCTCCTTCAGTATAGAAATTTCTAGCATAATATCTACCTTTTTGGCCTAGTAACAGTAAAGTACAAAACACTAAAGTTGAAGTGCCCGGGTTAAAGAACCATTCCTTTTTTTTTTTTTTTTAAATAATGTGATTGCAGCTATAATCAATTATTCCTCCTAGAAATTTCTGTGCCGTGTTTATATAGAAGCTTTTCTTTCCAGAAAAAGTTTTATTAATACATACACACATATACATATATGACAAAAGTTAAGTAGCACTCAGAAGCCCAGTTATCAAGGTACTGGGTAACTCTGTCTTCACTGCGATTGCATGTTTCTATCTCATTGGCCAAAAAAAGATTCTGTGTCAAATGAGGCATTAAAACCTTGGGGTTGCTGAGCGCTAACATTGTTTTTTGACCAGTAATTGGGCCAGTGAAAGCTTTTCAGCCTTCACTGTAACCAAGGAACAGATTCCTACTTGTTTTAGCAGTGTTCTAATAAAAGTCAGTATGGTGATAATGGCTTCATTACATGTTTGGACAAATCTGCTATTTGCTTCCTCTTTTGAGAGGATTTTTGTCAGGGAGGCAGGTTGGTCACCTTATGACTCAGCACTGTATAAAAAAGAAAACTAGACACATCTGAGCTGCTTCATGAGTGCAGCATGTATATAGCAGTGATTCTGAGATCTTAGAGGGGAACTGTCCTGGTAAGTAGCTCTACAGTCATTCTCACAGAGAAAAAAAAAAATGAGCAGCTCAGAGTGGTGATATAGTCAGTTGTATTTCTGGGAAGAGTGGGTAGTTCGGTAAGGAAGAGAGTATGTGCTGACAAACCTTCTCCGAAACCTTTGTGGTCACAGCCTGTTTCATTGGTTTCTGTTAGTTGAAGGTTTGCTGACATCATAGACGGTAAAGATAAAAAAGTTTCCTTAAATAAGGCAACACTGCTTGATAAAGATAGATGTTGGTCTTCAACTCAGTATCTGGGTGATTCACTTGTGCATTTTACATATTTCAAAAAGTTCTCTCTATTTATCATTGCTTATTTGAGCTTTTCAGCTTTTCCAAACATGTTGTTTTCTAGGAAAGATCAGCTTTCCTGCTATTCAGGCTGCTCCATCCTTCAGTTCATCATTTCCACAGATCTTCAATGGCAAGGAGAACATTCAGTGTCTTATCCCATGTGCTATTGATCAGGTAAGAAAATCATGTTACTTAATTTGGTTTTCATGGATGTGTTTTTGTAACGTACCATTTAAGCTTCAAGGTGGTGTACCGAAACATCTGTAAAACATTCCTGCAAGCACCTTTCTTGGGCAGAAGCTGGAAGAGATAAGAGTGCTGTATTGTGTCCTGACAAAGACGAAGGCTTAAGCCAACAATCACATATTTATGCATTACTCATTCTTGCCAGTCTTGGATCTGTCTTACCACAGTTCACAGTGAGCTGGCACCTATGAAAGCAAAGACAGTAAAATCTATGCAAAAGTATACTGACATGGAGGTAGGAAGAAACTTTTGGTCTTCTCCATGGTAACTAGGACAAGATGTAATGAGTTTAACTTGCAGCACGAGAGGTTTATGTCGAACCACAGGGAAAAATAATAAAGAAGCATTGAAATAGTTTGCCAGAACGGCTGCAGAACTTCAACAATTCAGATCTACATAGAGAGGATGGAAGAACATCGGCTACAAGTGACTGATAGTGTCGTTACTTTAAATAAAGTATTGTTTCTAGCAATCAAATTCTGCGCTGTCTGAATCTGTAGCTATTTTAGTCAAAGTGACAGTCACTGGAAGATGATGTAATTACATTCATCAACCACAATATTATGTAGTAATATTATTCTGGTTGGTTTTAAGTCAGATCAGCAGCACAGCACTGCCAGCTTGATCACTGATTTAATTCAGATTCTGTGCTAGTTATTAAACACTTTGGTAGGAAGGTTGCATCTTAATCTGCATCCATCTCCAGGCCTACTAAGGATAGTTTTCACAACTATTTTATATCTTTGTAAGTATGCCTATTAATTGAGGGAATTGGAGTGTACAGCAAAACTAAGGAAATGAAATAAGGGATTTTGTTTGTTCCTCTGGATGAACTGGATGGGAAGTAGGTTCTGGAACATTTTGTGGTTTGTTTTTTGCTTTTTTTTTTTTTTTCTCCTTGAGACTACCTGTTAAGGCATGAACGAATTGGCACTAATCAGCTTTTAAATCACATTTTTCAACTTAATTCTGTGCTTTTATTGGTGGTTGTTCCAGGATCCTTATTTTAGAATGACCCGCGATGTAGCACCTAGAATTGGACAGCCTAAACCAGCCTTACTGCACTCCGTCTTCTTCCCAGCCTTGCAAGGAGCACAGACGAAAATGAGTGCTAGTGACCCAAACTCCTCCATCTTCCTCACAGATACACCCAAACAAATCAAGACAAAGGTAAAGACCTGCAAAACGTGAGAACACAAAGCTTTATAACAGAGTGGTGGTCCTTGCAGTTACAATGGCAATTTTTTTGTTTTCTTTGAACATATCTGCATCCTTTTTTCCATATGTTTCATTGCAAAACATCTTCAGGAATAGACGAAGTTATGCAAATTTAGCTAGACTATCAAATATAATCTTTTGCCTTGCCAACTAGTCTAACAGTACAAACATTAGCTAGAACAATATACAAATATTGTGTTTGTTATCTGATATCTGCAGAGCAGTGGTGTAAGAATAAAAGCTGTGAAGGCTCATGCTCTAAAAATAAATATTATGTTGCCATAGTTTTGAAATCTGGCAGTCCATGATGCAAATCAAATAAACAGCTCTTTCTCTTGACTGCCTTTCCATGCTGGGAGCACCAGGCGTTGATTACAACAGAGATCAGGCTTTTCATGCTGCTTGGGGATCTGCTGCTGCTGTGCACTCCTCCCTCCAATTCACAAATAAATATTACGTTGAATTTCACCTGTTTTAGCAGGGGTATTTTCTCCTATGTGAGTATATTCCTAGTGCCCCTTCTAGCTCAAAGGAAAATCCCTCTTATGCAGTGTCAGATGATTTAGTTTGGTAAAAGTTCACCTGTGTTGTGGTATTTAACAAAATATAAATACAAACCAGTCTTTGGAAAAGGATTTGTAGGCATGATAACCAGACATGAAATAACTATCTGTCAAAATAAGAAAAAGATGTGTAGGTTGTTTCTGCTGGAGGGGCTTAGATTAATTCTTTTATAGTTGACAAACCCATGTATAGGTCAGATTCTTCTGCAGTCATCTCGTAATGATTCATGATCGTATGTAGAAACTGAATAAAAGTACTGTTCTGAAGAACTGGAATTCTTTGTGTGTTTGGATTATAATAATTCCATTTATTTGCACAATTAACAGTTGCTTTTAAAAAAAAATAGAATTTCAGAATAGAGAATACATCATTAGTGGTAAAATTAACAATATTATTTTTTTTTTCCTGGCAAGTAGCTAGTAATCTGTGATGAGATCCCAGATGCCTTATATCCGATTAATATGTCCTAGTTCTGCTATCCTTAAGCTAGTTGGACAAATAACAAAATAATTCTAGCTACTTGGAATATAGAAGTTGTAAAGAGAAAATTCTGAATGTAAAGTATTGAGTAATGGAGGACAAACCGAGATTTATTTCAGCTTTTGAAGCCTATCAGAAAGAAGTCTTTATGGAAATAGGGCTTGAGTGAAAGACCAAATATTTTTATGGCCAATAAATGAAAAGTTAGTGTAGGAAAGGTGACTTCTGGTGATGGATGAATGTTAAAAAGAAAGCTGCACAACAAAAAAAAAAATTACTGTTTACAGCATTTTTCAGATCATTACGCTACTAAGTAGGATCAAAACCTTGGACTAGGATCAAAACCTTGGACCTCAGGAGGGCCAACTTTGGCCTCTTCAAGGAGCTACTGGGAGGAATCTCGTGGGCCAGGGCTCTCGAAGGCAGGGCTCTCGAAGTCCAAGAGTGCTGGTCACTGTAAAAACGTCACTTCCTCCACGCTCAGCAGCGGTGCATCCCCCTGAGAAAGAAATCTAGCAAAGGAGGCAGGAGACCTGCATAGTTAAACAAGGAGCTTCTAGCGGAGATCAGGCAGAAGAGAAAGGTCCATGG